CAAAGGTCTGGACTTGGCTCTCACCCACACTGCCTCGCTGTGTCTGAGCCTCAGTTGATGCACAGGTAACAGGAGGGCAGCACTGTTTCTTTCTTGTGTTTTCCAAAGTTACAGAAATAGGCAAAAACCTATAAAACGTTACACACATGTAATACCAAAACCAGACGAAGGGTAGAAAATAAATTATCTAACAAAGCATACAAATATGGCATATACATGATGCCAAAAATCCAATCATTATACAACGAAATAACTGCCAGAATTGTGTCCATGTACAGTTATCTCATTAACGTTATAAACCCGTCCTGATTAACCTGGTGCCAGGAATGGGGTGAGCATTAGGCATACACAGAAAAACTTAAGAGACTGGGGCCAAAAGCTCCTTGGTTGACATTCTCTCCATATAGTGTGTTTGTAAGCTTGCCCACAAGAATTTAAGGGGGATCTTTCTGAGGACACAGCCACACTCATGGATCAATGAGTATAATCAATGAGTGACGCCTGCTGGGCACGGGACTGGGCAGGCGTGCAGAGAAGAGGAGGTAGAAGAACGTTTGCCATCCTTGATTTAAGCAAAGGTCTTGATGCTTTGTGTAGATGTCATGTGAACAAAAGCCTATCCAATACATTAAAAGTTTATTCTACAGTGAATATGTATGTCCAGGTAAATGTGTGCAGAATCCCATGAGGGGCTTAGAGAGAAGTGGAAATATCTGCAATATAAATGCAGATTACCTTCATCACAAAACTGGATCGCATTCTCATTCCTAGCTTAATTTCCTATATCATAAAACCTATATTCAATTTTATAAATAGCATACACCAAGAATCATAAATTTAGTTAATGTAGAAATTTAACAAATTTTTAAAATAAAAGTGTAAAAAGACTATTTTAGAACAAGTATCTGAAAAAACAGAAAGGGTTCTTTCTTTTAAAATATGTTTTTTCCTCTGACTACTTCCTCGGGGATATAACTAGAGAAGAAATAAATTTTACAGCTAATATACATGAAGTAACATGTTTAACATTATGCAATAAATTTTTATCCACCTATGCTGTATCAATTTATCTCACATATCTGTCACATCCAACAGAACTCATTAAAACAATGTTATAGCTATGGAATTAAATGCAACTTTCTAATTGGAATTTAATCTTATAACAGTAGTTGGTGGGTTTTTTTTTTTTTTAACTGGCAAATTGAATAACTCATTTGTTTGTCTTACATTTCAACCTAAAGACTTCGAAGAATTTGACATGGGGTTTGCCTGGCCTGCAATGCTGTGTGGGGGGGGTGTCCTGGAGGTTCTCTGATCCCCAGAACTGCTGATCATGGGTGGGAAAAGGTTGGACACTGGAGGATTCCCCTCCTCCCCCCGGAACTATATTACTGTATATTCTATCACTTCTATGTAAATGTCATGTAAATTTTTATCTTTATCAAACCACACAATGTTTCCACTCAGCCCCTGGCCAATTAGCTATGGGGAAATGTTTAGCCAATTACATTAGGGACTGGAAAGAAAGGCAAAATAAATGCCTCAAAAATGCTTCGGAGATAAAATGTAAGTTGACATGCCTTCGAATGCTGGAGCCCAAGTGATACAATCTGATAGGCAGCTGCCAGGGCTCATAACTGCTTATTAAATCTAGCCTCCCTTTATGGCCGGGTGAGGATCTGTATTTTTACCAATATTAGGTTCGTTGTGTTATGAAAGAGACCAAAATATTTAAGATCACTCTCACCAGTCTATAAAACATATTATGTAGTTTATTAAATTGTTAAAATTACTTTTCGAAGTTAAAATTTCAGGGACTGGAAGTCTAAGCACAAGGCAGAGGCTCGGGCCCTGACAGCTCCCAGCCCAGAGCACGCAAAGAGGACCCGGCTGCTTTCCTGCTCCACCTCTTCTTGGAAGCAGCAGCCCACCACCCACCCCAAAACCAGTGACAAAAAATCCACACGCTTGTGTCTTATAAAAAAGCAAAAAAACTCCCACCCAAAAAGTAGCCAATTAGCAAGACATGAGAAGGAGTATGTTCCCTGTTTTTACCTCTTCCCAGTAGGTAGATGTTAGAAATGTGATTATGGGAGAGAGCAGAAGAGGAACTGTGGGCAAATAAGGAAAAACAAGTGGTGACAAAACAATGTTGCAGGATGCTTACACTCCTACACCAGCAAGGGACACACTGACGGGACAGGCAGTGCCGGGGCCACCGGCCTGAGAACCAGCCGCTCCGCTCTCCGCAGGAGTGTTGTGCAAACCCAGGCAGTTCCTGTCACACTGACTCCCAGGCTAACTGCCCCTCCACTGTGCAGGGGATTCGTTCTCCACTCTCGGGCTCAGTGCTGTGCTGGAGCAGGGCACAGGGACAGGGAGGCGTCAGCACAGACAGACCTCCTTCCCTGTACCTGCCCGAGTTAAATGTGGGCGGGCACTATCTTCACCACGGCACACTGCTGACAGCTGCCCTAGGACCCGCTGTGCACAGCGTCTACGGGGCCTTCCATCCCCTGGCCTGAGTGAGGTGGTGGGCTGCCCAGGTGCAGCCCGGGCCTGTGGCCCTCTTCCAGGAGGGTACTCACCATGACACGTCTCACCCAGAACTGGAGTTTATTTCAAGCCTAAAGACTCCAAATTATCAACCATAACCATTAATTGGCATTTCTTTTGGTTATTCGATAAATAGTGAAGTGCTAAAGGCCATGGCCCTGTGGGCACCGCTGGGCGTGGGGGCTGAGCTCACGGTCACAGGCACGCACGCAGCCAGGCTGGTGCTGTGGGCAGAGAACTGCTCCTTCCCTGCCAGAGGCGCTGAGAGCAGGCGGGGCGGAGCAGCAAGCTCCCTGCAGCCCAGGAGTGCAGGGCCACTGCTCCGTCCTGGCAGTGCAGTTCAGGGAGATAAACCGGGCGATACAAAGTGTGTCCATGTTGGTGTAAACTGGTATTCGACAGGGCCGACCAGCACATTCTATCAATTCAAAGGGATAACATGTTCCTTATGGTATTTCAGATTAATTTTTCAAACAGTAGGTCTTATCCAATGAAATTAATGAATAAAATGAACCTAGTCACCAATAAATCCATTCATGTGGTTTGTTAAATTTCATACATCAATTTTATGAGAGTGAGATTAAGTCAGACTCTCTCAATACTGAAGCCAGAGATGACAGGTAACCTCAAACCTGAGTTTGTTGCTATGTCAATGCCCTCAGAATTCCAACCACTTCTAAGGAGCCTCCGGTGTGTGAGACACGGGGGCTCGGTTCTCACTCTGCCTGGACCCCCATGAACAGACTGTTTCTTGGTGCATGCTTTCTGCTCTCGAGTCTAGACAATCCGCACGGCCTGGGGTCCGGGCAGCACAGCACCACCAAAGAGGGAGCGGACTTGCAGGACAACTCCAGACGATGGTCAAAGATCTAACAGATCTGAAGTCCTGTGACTCCGTCAACCATTCTCACTGTGGAGCCCTTTCCTTGTGTGGTGCTGTCTACTCTGTGCTTTATCCCTTGCCAATAAAAGAAGAAATATAAAGAAGACAAAAAAAGAATTTTCCCTCGGCTCTAGCTTCAGCAGAACTAAGTGCAAAGGACAAGCCATCGTGCAATCTCCCACAGGAACTTCAAGCCCAGAAGCTCACGGAGGACCGTCTGGGCTGTAAACTTGGGCTAGATGCTTTACTTAAAGTGCTTTTTTTTTCCCTCTGAAATGACAGGATTTTGTAAAAATGACCTCTAACTAAAACCTCTAAAAATCTGGGCCAAATAGCTGAATGCATAGCAAAGTCTGAGAAGAAACACATACCAAAAAAGGTTTACAAACTGCATGGTCTGAATTTCTCGATCTTCACCATTGGGATAAGGTAGAAAGAAATGGAAACAAAAAGAACAAGATCCAATTCTGACCGAGCCCAGGGACTGTGCATCTCCAACTCTGCGGGCTTCAGCTGCCCCGTTTGTGAAGTGGAGTTAAACAGAAACTTCCAGGGCCCTGTTAGCCTCATAAACAGGGCACTGGAAACCAACTGCTTTATTTCAAAAATAAAAGCAGACTAACAAGCCCCATGTCAGGTAGCTGATAGGTCTGCCAATTTCCAATATAGCACTCTTTCAACTTAACTTAACTTTACTTTTGAGACCTTAATTAATTCAAAACTGTCTCAAATACAACTCCACTAAGACAAAGAAAAGGTAATGAAATGGTTCTTACCATTAAATGCCATTCAATACAAAGCCTGAAACCAAATGATTCCCCATGAAGTTGTCCTCATTCCACGACAAACCTACCACTGAATGAGGTCACAGTTTTTACCCAAAAGGCCTAGTCTCAACCAATTATTGCTGTGGTAAAAGCAAGTCACAACTGTTCATTCATTACTACATAGAAGCCATCTGTTTCTGAGGAACATGATAGATATGTTCAAATACAAAAGAACATGCATGACATTAAAAGACCATCACATCCCTTTCTAACCTCCCCCTCACAATTACAATGAGTACCTCATGAGGTACACCATAATACCAAAAAACAAACACTGAAAAAATGCCCATGCATCATTCTGAAAAATCTTAGAGCATCCCAAGTTCCCAACCTTCAAGCTTCTGCAAGAGCTTGTGATGGGACATTCTCAATGAGCAAATTAAACTTAAATCCCCCCAAAATTCCAGGTAAGATCATTAGAGCCTTCTTTCATGGTGGCTCTTCAAGCAACCTCTTCCACCTGTGCATGTGTGGCGCACACTCAATCAGTCCGCCCAGGGAGTATGGTTAAAAGAAGCCAGCAAGCAGAACCCTCTCCTGTGCCCCATTCTGCCTTTAGAAGCCCTCAGGTCACTGTAGGGGCCGTCCAAGAAGATTACAGCAGGAAATAATGACCTTTCAAACGAGAACCTCTTCACTGCCAGTGTTCTGAGCAGCTTCTCGTACTGCGTGGGACTCTCAGCGGACTTCCGTCCTGAGAATTCTCAGGCTCATGAACATATCTGTACACTCACCTGACGGCCAGCAGGCATCACACCCACTCGTTCATGGTTGACAGCAAGTCAGAGAAGGGGTCGAGGCCCTCACCATCGCCCAAGTGTTCTTTTTGGAGACTGGAATTGTAAGCAAAAGCTCCTGGGACACTGCAACACAAAAATATTTTTTACACATAACTAAGATGTAACTTCTAAAACCACCACTTCCTTACTCTTGAAAACAGCGAGACAGACATCAAATCTAGGGGTAGGAAAACACCTTTCAAACGAGGGATGTCAGTGTAAAGAGAAATGCTATAAAACATGAGCCGGAAACGCTGTTTTGAAAAATGCATTTACCAATTAGTTCAACACATCCACTAAAAAGTGGTGGTTTATTGCAGACTTTGTGCCAAGTATTTTATAAAGTGCTTAGGTAACAATAAGCTGTTTTAATTCAAATCTTACATGGATAAACACACTACCATTTCATATTAATTATGTTTTCTAAAGAATTAAAAAACTTGAAAATTTAAAGTTATTCTTGAAATAAAAATCAGTATCAAAATTAGTAAAAGTTGTAACCATAATCAATTTTTCCTTCAAAATAACTCTTACAATGTTTATGTATTACATCAGGATCAGACTCCTGGAGGCATTTCCATCAAGACAGAGCATCCCATTGTGAAGTTCAGGCATCAAAGTGGAGAAGCCGAATTCTGGACCCCCTATTGTCACCAATCAATTGTGTGGCACCAAGAAAGTCATTTAACATCTCAGGATTCCGACTCTTCATCCAAGGGCCATGGCATTAACTGATGCTCCCCAAGTCGCTTCACTTCTAGCTCTCTGTCACTTTTGGTAAGCCTACTTATTCTGAATAGCCTATGCTATCAGTTTTCTTTGGCTTTAAACTTCCTGAATCAAAAGAAAATGTTTACCACAAATCACTCTTATGCTGATCTGCCTTCAACACCAAAGAATGTTTGCACATGCATAGACGACTTCTCACTCTGGCACCAGTGCCCAGGCTCGGTGAGCTGGCTTCATCCCTGGGTCCCCATGGAAGGCTTCCATGGCTCTCCAGAGAGCAGCTCCAACTCGTATGGAAATCAGCCCAATGTGTCACTCAGGAGTGTTTCTCAGACTTCAATGTGCGGAAGCATACCTTGGAGAACTTTTTAAAATACAGATCCCTAAGCCCTGTCCCCAGATTGTCTGGGTTCAGTTGTTCTGAAGTGGAGCCTGAGATTCTGCATTTCTACCAAACTACCAGAGAATGTGGTCACTGCTGATGAAGGGCCACAGTTTGAGTCCAAAGGATAAAATCCCATATTCTCTAAGCCTCAAGGGGCCCTGAGACCAAGAGGCATTTCCAAGGCTCAGTGACGCTCTCTAAAACCACTCAGCCACACAGCAAAAACAAATGGGCCAAAATACCAACTTCTTTCTCTGGCCTAGAGGCCCTGCATAATATGGCCTCTGATGCCACCACCAGCCACCAACCCAATCATCAACTCCACAGATGCAGTGGCATGCCTTCCATTTTGAGCAAGCCGAATGTCTTCTGCCTCAGGCCTGGGCATTGCTTTTCTGCCTGGGATTTCCACAAACCTATTCCTCACCCAACAGCCTCCTTCCTGTCCTCGGGTCTTGGGGGCAAAGGCCACTTCAGAAAGGCAGACCTGCCCACATACTTGGGCTCAGTCTTCAGCAACTCCAAGTAGCATCCTCTAGGCTTTCTCCAGAGCTCTTGTAATAATCCATCAACCTTTTTCTCCTTTATTCACTTCTTTCCCACTAAAACAGAAGCTCAGAAGATCAGGGAACCTCTGTTTCATTCATCACTGTCCTGAAGAACTTCATAGTGATGCCTCGCTCACAGCAGGACCCATATAAAGACTTACTGAGTCAACACTGAATCAACAATTGGAAGAATTCTTTAGCATCCTATAAAAATATAACCACCATTTATTTACTAGTAAAATCATTATGTACTGGACTTTAAGCATTTCAGAAGAGTTCATTTAATTTTATTTTTACAGCCACGTTCTTAGAAGCTCTATATTGCAGGTAAGAAAAAGGAGGCAAAGAGTGTTTGAAACTTGCCCAGGACCACATGGCAGCAGGGCTGGAGCACAGAACTCTCACCCAGAGCGGGCGCTTCCCCAGTCAGCACACTCGGGTGTGTGGCGCATGATCACCTGGACCAGACACCTCCTGCCTCAAGCTTGAGTGAGAGTTCTGGCTGCAGCCCTTGCCGAGGGTCACCGCCTGGCTCAGGCCCCGCTGACCAAGCAGACACGGGCCAGGCATCGGGCAGGGCGACGGGCACGTGGAAACCAGGAGGCCTGGCTTCCTCAGCCCGGGGGCACCACTCCACAGGCAGTTACTTCCCCATGGGAACAGGAGCCCATGGCTGGAAAGCTTTCCATTAATTCTACAAATGAAGGCAGTAATCAGATTATTGTTCTGTGAAATATCATCATTTTTCCAAGATAGGAGCTAACCTTTTAATAGCACACAGTTCTTAAAAGAACCCGCTGCCTCTGCGCCACATGACTGGGGCCACACGCAGGTGTGCGTCCTGGTGTGCGGTTCCAGGGGGCAGCCGAGCGGGGCAGGGCGCGGAGGCCTCCGAGCAGGCCTTCCAGGAGTTATCTGGAGCAAATGTTAGAAGAAATGGAAGATGGGGGGTGGGGGAGGGGGAGGGCACTCCAATATTAAACATAGTATTCCATAGCTTGGGGTGGGGGAGGCAAGTCACCCAGAGGAACAGTGTGAGGAGGGGGCCCCGGGGGGAGGGGGGGGGGAGAAGGGGGAGCCTGGGAGAGGGGAGTCTGGGAGGGGGGCCTGGGACAGGAGCCATGCAAGGCGCGGCTAATTTGCAGCTCAGGCAGAGGTTGGAGAGAAAGTGCCCCAACATGCTCACAGCACAGGCCCATGGCACATCCTACCAGCAAATGTTAGTCACTGACACCCCCAGCAAAGGACAGACTAGCCCTGTTTGTGGGATGTTTTTGTTTTTGCTTGTTTTGTTGAGTCAAACAGATAAGGACTGAATTCCATCCCTACAAGCTCTATAACTCTAAAAAAAAACACTATAAAACAACATGTATTGCAGCTTTTACATGTGTCTGTAGTATATACACTATAAAATGCAATGTATGTATACCTATAGACTATATATTGTAAGCTCTATAATTCAAAAATGCTATATAAATTAGGTGCTATAATGTTTATATTTATTTATAGTGTTGATCATATAAAATGCATACTATGTACATATACATGTACTATAATACATACCTATTCACAAATGTATGCTATAAAATGCAAGGTTTGTAATTCTAATAAAAAAATCTGAGTTTTAGAAATGAAAAATACAGCAATTAAAAAACTTTTTAAATCACCAGAGCCGAAACCGGTTTGGCTCAATGGATAGAGCGTCGGCTTGGGGACTGAAAGGTCCTGGGTTCGATTCCGGTCAAGGGCATGTACCTTGGTTGCGGGCATATCCCCAGTAGGGGGTGTGCAAGAGGCAGCTGATCAATGACTCTCTCTCATTGATGTTTCTAACTCTCTATCTCTCTCCCTTCCTCTCTGTACAAAATCAATAAAATATATTTTTTTAAAAAAATTAAATCACCAGAAAACAAGGTAGATGTTCAAGTAAATTATCAAAAATGCTGCTCAGAGGCGAAAACAGTGCTGGAATCACATACTAGAAGAAACTATCCTTCAAAAATGAGGGAGAAATAAATAACTTGCCCGACAGAATTTTATCACCTCTACAAGGACATTCAGAAAAATGTATTTCAGACCAAAATAAAATTATTTTACAAAGAAGATTAAAAAAGGAAGGGGGAGCCAAAATAATGGAGAACTTGTGAGTAAATGAAAAGTAAATACATTAAAATGAAGTGCAGGTCTTAAAAAAGAAGTCCGTCAACGCCATCTCCCCCCCACCACTCCGCTGGCAACGCCATCGCCCCCACCACCACTCCGCTGGCAACGCCATCGCCCCCACCACCACCACTCCGCTGGCAACGCCATCGCCCCCACCACCACCACTCCGCTGGCAACGCCATCGCCCCCACCACCACCACTCCGCTGGCAACGCCATCGCCCCCACCACCACCACTCCGCTGGCAACGCCATCGCCCCCCCCACAGCTCCGCTGGCAACGCCATCGCCCCCACCACCACTCCGCTGGCAACGCCATCGCCCCCACCACCACCACTCCGCTGGCAACGCCATCGCCCCCCCCCCACTCCGCTGGCAACGCCATCGCCCCCCCCCCCACTCCGCTGGCAACGCCATCGCCCGCCCCCCACTCCGCTGGCAACGCCATCGCCCCCCCCCACTCCGCTGGCAACGCCATCGCCCGCCCCCCACTCCGCTGGCAACGCCATCGCCCCCCCCCCCACTCCGCTGGCAACGCCATCGCCCCACCACCACCACTCCGCTGGCAACGCCATCGCCCCCCCCCACTCCGCTGGCAACGCCATCGCCCCCCCCCACTCCGCTGGCAACGCCATCGCCCCCCCCCCACTCCGCTGGCAACGCCATCGCCCCCCCCACTCCGCTGGCAACGCCATCGCCCCCCTCACCACTCCGCTGGCAACGCCATCGCCCCCCCCCCAACACTCCGCTGGCAACGCCATCGCCCCCCCCCACTCCGCTGGCAACGCCATCGCCCCCCCCCACTCCGCTGGCAACGCCATCGCCCCCCCCACCACTCCCAGTGCGGTGGCATCGCTCCCCAAGGCACAGGCTGCAAACCTGAGTGGCTACTGGGGTCCCACCTAAAATGCAGGTCCCTGCCAAGTCCGGAGTCTGGGTCAGTCAGGGAGGCTGCTCCCCTGCAGATGCCCAGGGGCTCTGAGGCAGGTGCCTCCTTGCCTTGGTCCGGAGCCTAGGACACTGCTCTTACCCACTGAGGCCCGGAGCCAGCAGGGCCAGGAACGTGCCCAGGTGGTCGGGCCGAACCCAGAACAGGCCTTTGCTCCTTCCACTCCGCTGGAGTCCCCATGAGCAGCTGGGCCACACCTGGGCAGGGGTAAGTAGTGACCCCCCTCAACCTGAGAATCAGGAGCTGTCATAAATTAAAGCCCATTAAAGCCCATTGAAATATTTTACCGAAAAGCCTCAAAGTGCTGGAGCAC